GTTTTTACCCGGTAGTCATCTCCGAACTCGATCTTGAAAGCGTCACGGATGGCCTCGGCGGAGGCACGGTGGCCACCGCCGGTATCACTCATGAGAATAAGAACAGTTTTGATCCTCTCAGCTCCCATCTGCTCCATCTCCATGACTTGCTCCTTTTCGTCCAACCCTCTTTTCCTCACACTTTCCTCCCCGAAATCACCTGATGATCTCCATCTTCGGCCACTAAAACTGCTATAACCATCGTCGACCGTCGAGAAACTAAAATTGCTGTATACTCGCCGGAAAACCTTCTCTGTGATTGAATCAGCCTGTGTACGAGACGAAACCACTTTCATCATCACGATTTTCTTGTTCAATAAAGAAGAAGAATCGATGGTTGTGATGTTTGTGTGGGCTGGTTGGTGATCTTTATGTAATTTTTCTGTTTTTGGATTTTTTAAAATTTTTGAAGGAAAAAAAAAAGGGAAGACCAAGTTGGTGATTTGAATAATTAAAAATTAATTTGAGGAATGATGCTGGAATTATTCCTTTTTTTTTAATTTTGTTGTTCCTATAGTTTTGCTTCTGCTTTTATATTTCGTGTCTTTGTTAAGTGGGGTTTCATTTTGTGTAAGAGTGACGATGAGAGTAAGGCAGCTTGTAGCCGTCGGATCTATATTTGGTTTCGGAATCTTCGGATATGAAGATACGGATCCTTCGTTGTATCATAAGTTCTTCAAACAACTTGACTTTTCTTATTTATTTTAAAAAAATAAAAAAATTAATGACCTGGATACTCCCTTTTTTTTTTAACACTTTTATTGAATTTGATTCGGAACATGTTATATCAACGAAGAAGTTCAACATATGTAATACAAAGAGAAACTAATGATTTTTTCCGCACTAGAAACCAAATGAGGACAATAATCATTGACGACACATTAAATGATACCAAGATGATCTTGTTTCGAATCAAAGGTAGACGATTAGGTGTTTCCGAATCCACAATAGCAGCCAGATTTCCAATATCTATCACGATAACATGATAACTATTCTCTTAGTTTAGATAAATCTCTTTCCTTGCCTTTGTCAATTTTGTTCCTAGTTAGTTTCAGTGAAACCGCCGTTGAACAACTTTGAACTGCAAAACTTAAATCAAATAGATAGCCAGAATTGACTAGAACTAACATGTAAAGCAAACGATAGATCTTCTATCGAGGGAAAAACTTCAATTAAAAACTTCACCCAAAAAAACTTAACCCAATGAAGGAAATCACAAACTAAACCCAATGAAAGAATCACAAACTAGACCCATAAAAATCAGAGAGCGAATAACTTTGCATCATTTTCTAACCAAAAACTCTCATGGACATCCATTACACTTCATCTCAAGCGTAGAAACTCTATTAGTTTACACCCATCTCCCTCTCACGAACATCGCAGAGAGAAAAAACTCAAATAACCTTTTTTTCTTGACCTGGATACTCCTTTTATTTTCGCTCTTTGTGGTTTTTATTTTTTTAACTGATTTAAACCCACAATTTGTTTGATTTTGTTTAGTTTGATTAGGTGTAATTCATTTTCGCTTGATTTGGATCTAATTTTTGATATGATAATAATAATACTAGTCAATTCGCTTGCTTTTACGTGGGTTGAAGATGATATATCAATATAGGTTAATAAATAATCTATAGTGATTGAGTTTAACTGAGTTGGCAGTTATGCGAACTAGTTCGTGAACAAAGAATTTTTCAAAAAATTTAAAATATTATATTTATATATTTCAAAAAATATTAGTATATTTAAAAAAAATCCAATTTAAAATGTTTTTGATTATTTTTTGTTTTCAGCCAAATCATATGATGGATTTACTAACTTAAACGCCGCATGATGTTTTACAAACTTCCACATGTTCGAAACTTCTTGCATGAGTTTTTTCATCCATTGGTTGGATCCACTCAAGTGATTTGTTTCAAAACAGCTAATCCAACAAGTTAGTTCTTTGGTGTTTAAGAAAACTCTTTCGTCGATCGACATAACTTTTTCGAGAAAGCTAGATTATGATGAATCCATTTTTGTCGGTCATTATCAATTGAGGGCCATCGTAAATTCCTTTGGATTTCTGACTAGTACCACCTTGCCAAAACACAAGTCCGAAAATCATAAACTTAGGCTCCGACCATGTGGTATCAAAATTGAGTTGCAATAGGTGTTATAATTCGATGTAACTTGCAGTAAAAAATATGTAGTAGAAAATGCAGTTTTATGTGGTGAGTTTGGTGTAAAAATATAAGTTAACTTTATTATCAAAACAACTGACTGGTAACTTTTTTGATGTGTAAGTTACAGTATATTTTATATAAAGAAATTAAATTAGAAATTAGAAATAATTAATAATAAATAATATTTGTTATGAATTTAAATGATAAATGTATTAAATAAAATAATATTAACTTAAACATAGTAAATTAAAATATAATTTTTTCGTAACATAGTAATTATAAAAAAGCATACTATAAATATTAAAGGTGCACAAATTAATTTTTAGGAACAATTTTGTTTGAATTACTCTGACAAAAATAAGTAA